CTCCTGCGGCTGCCCAGCTGCCTCCCTGCCTCACTCACCTCGATGGCCTTGTAGAAGATGCTGTTCCCAATCTGGACCACCTCCAGGTTCTGCTCCTGCTCATTCCGGGCACATTTGATGTAGGTCATCCAGCTGCGGTGGTCCTCCTGGCTGGCATCGATGAAGTACCGCACTGTGCCGTCTTCGTTGAAGACCTGGGAGGGGGAGAGAGTGGTTGGTAGAGATGCTGCCCACAGTGACTGAGCCACTCCACCTCCTCCTGCCTCCGGGATAAAGTCCTCAATGAGGGACAAGCTCAAAGCCAGCATGGTCTGGAGCTGCTGCCCGCAGCCGGGAGATGGCCGAACCCTTCCTGCTCATGGTGCTGAAGGCTGAGGAAGGCCCCCCTGCCCTTGCTGGGTGGGCACGGCTGGCCCCATCAGCCCATGCCCACCCAGATAACCCAGCTCCCTGCCTTGACATCCCTTCTCAGCAGAGCCCTACCAGCAGCTCAGCCCCAAAGGGGTTCAGCTCCCTGCAGCTGCCCACGGGAGCATCCCTGGATGGAGGAGGAAGGTGCCTGCCAGACTCAGCCCTTGGCAGAAGATGCTTTGTAATGTGACAGGAAAGGTGAGGCAAGGTTCTATTAGGCATAAAATTATAATAATAATTAATAATAATTTAAAATCCAAGTCTGACATGCAGTGAAACAAACAAAAAAATTAGGAAAACTCCCTCTACGAGCTGGGCATTAATGTGGGATGCAGCTCAGATCCCCCCAAACCCCGCAGCTTTGCTCAGAGTTAATCACACAGGGGCTGGGACAAAGTGGGGACAGGGCAGAGCTGGTTTCACCCGCCGTGCACGGTGCAGGCAGCTGCCAGCCAGGGGTTTCACCACGACAGGGACAGGCAGGGGGTGATCCTGCTCCGTGGGACACCAACAACAGGGTTTTGGGGCTCCTCTGAGAGCTGGCTGCACCCCGAGGGCTGAAGAAGCCTCGTACATCTCTTGCCCTGGAGGAAGCCAGATCTTTGCATGAATTGGGAAACTGAGGCACGGGGAGGGTGCCTGGTGACACGCAAGCACAGGACAAAGCCCTCCGGGCCCCAGTACTCCGTCCCTACCTCTCCCTGGGGCTGGGGGTACAGCGGGGGGGTCGTTACCTCCCACATGAGGTTGTTGTTCTTGCACAGATCCACATGCTCCGGCGAGATGACCCTGCCCGTGAACGGTCCCATCTCGGTGCCAGCTTTGATCCAGGTCTTGGAGAAGATGCCGAGCCCTTCCCCAGGGATGGAGCTCTGGGCGATGATCACTTCCGACGGCAGCACCAGGCTGGAGAGCTTCTGCACCTCTGCGGGCAGCGGGAGCGGGCTCGGAAAAGGGACCCGCCGCCTCCCACCCCACTGGGGTGCCCGGGGAGGCGGGGGGAGATCCCCTCACCGACCCCAACCCCAAATCCCGCGTTTTGAGCTTTTTTTAAACGCCCAGCCGGGCTCCTACAAAGCGGTACAAGGTTCCCCCCGGGGCATTGAGGAGGTACCTGGGAAAAGCAGCCCGGGCTGGGCGAGGGAGCGGGGCTGAGAAAGGAGGTTAAATGGTGTCTATTTCGGCCCATCCAGCAATTTGTCATGCTGTTAAAGTGATCTGCATTCATTAAACTCAACTAGAAAGAAATTGCTAATTCTAAATTCATTAGTCCTTTAGGAATGC